TTTTTAATTTAATTAATTTACTATTTTCCTATCATTTGAAATTCTTATTTTTATTTATTTAAACATATTACATTTTTTTTGCTCTTAATTTTTCTAAATATTTTTTTACTTAAAAATCTATTTTAAAATGTTTTTAATTTTTTTTACTCTTACTACCGCTTTTCAGCGCTCTGCACTCAATATGCATGTGAAAACATGCTCGATAACGCTTCGTTAGGCAGCAACAAGCGTCAAATTGGGATATTTGCAAATAAAAACTTTAATGAATAACGATGGGGCTGACAAAAACAATTTCCTATGCCGTAAAAATAGAAAATTGGAAAACATTTTTTTGGCTAGAAAAACGTTTGCGTAGATTTAAATTTCTATTTCTATATAAATAGTTTATTAATTATTGCCACACATTGCGAAATCTAAATTTACTGGCATATTTTGTGATGAAAATATCTGTGTCATTAATTTTGCGCAACATTTTTCAGTCGCAAAATTTTTTAATCACTCAGTGAGAAAATCCTTTTGTGTATGAGAAAAAAGTTTTTAATCGCTCATGCATTAAATTTATTGTCACATAAAAAAAATTATTACTTTTCAACTAGAAATGTATGTCAAGCGTCATTGGAAGATATTTAAACACCTCAATATTTACTGACAATTCATAAATATAATTTTTGGTGGCAAAAAAAGTTTTATGGAAAATAAAATTTGCTTTATAGATAAATATTTGCTTATGATAAAATATTTATTTATGGAAAGTGTGCTGATTTATACATATACATATATGTATATTAATTTGGAAACATTTTATTAAAATTATTTTTTCTAATATTTTTCATTTTTATTTCGAAAATTATTAGTTTTTGTTCCAAAACTGCATAAATTTAAATTGCACATTTTTTGGTGAGTTAACAAGCTAATTGTTGAAGCTACGAAAAATTGAGCAAATAAATTCGCTGGCGTTTTGGGCGCCACAGCAATTTAATGTGAACAAGCTTTTGTGAATTTTCACATAAATAATATATTTTTCAACTGGGAATTTAGTTTTGCATTGAATTGAAAACTATGCAATAATTATATACCCGTAAAGTTCAAACAAAAATTTATTGAATTTGGCACTTGTTGTTGCCTTGTTTAAATTAATTAAGAAATGCTAAAATATGTACAATTTTTCTGGATTTGTTTTTTGCTTCGTTCATTGCATAATTAAAAGTGTAAAAACAAATTTAGATTATGAAAATATGTGGAATCACTTAGTGAGAAAATCTGGCTGATTTATATTTTTTTTGTAAATTTTAACTTGCAATAAAAATAAGAAAGGAATCCCAATAAAATAGTTAGCTTCATTAGCCAGCCAATTAGCGTAATTAATATTTCAAATTAAAAGGTAATTTGAACTCAAAAATGTTTAGAAATTTACAATTTTTAACAAAGAAAACGTAATTAGCAGTTTACTAACTAATATTCGAAAAATGAGATAATTTTTAATGAAAAATTTTAGCCAATTTTTTACTACTAAAACAAAATTTCTAACTAATTTTTTTCCAAATAT